AATCAAATGGTAATCTGATTGGATGAGCTACCCCAAATTATTTTTCTCACCTTATCTCGGGAGTTCTTCCTGTACCTAGCAAAGTGCACTCCATCCACACTGAATGAGAGATAGTACACCGTCACCCACTGACTTGCCATGGCTCTACCTTGTGTAGCAACACGTATGATCTTAGATATTCGGCCAAGATCCAGCTGCAGAAATTGGTGACGATTGTTGTACCTTGGGGATAGACAAGAAATGATTAAAAACTGAAGGGGCGACTTGCACCGTTTACAAAGTTCTGTATAATTGGCTAAACGAAACAATAGGTTAACGACACAAACAATACCTCTAGGCTTAGGAACAAAAGAGGTACAGATTAACAATAAAAACAGATGTTTTAAAGAGGTGCAGGGCAACTGAAACTAAAACGTGATTGTTGAAAAAGTGGTTTTTAAAGGAGCTTTGTCACGATATTTTGAGTTGTTTTTGTTATATTGAAGGAAACTTGAAAATAATAGTTTACCAAGAGAGAAAAACACCAAAGAGATAATAAAAAACCATAAAGGAACAAGGATGGTTAAGGATAGAGAATGTTAACAAGGATTACAAATGATGAACTTGAAAACTTTAGGCTAAAATTTTCAAGACGCGCAGGACAAAATGGTACTTGTTATGTCACCCCAGTTACTTGTGGGACGAGAGTGGGGTGGGACAAAGCTTCCGTTTTCTAGAGCCTGCATTACCTGGCTGACCAAGCGCTCTGGTATCTGCCCATGCGTCGTGCATTAAGCCTGGCTAAATGAGGACCGTGGAATTTGTCCCACATGGACGACGCTGTGATGGCTGAATTTTTAATGCCTCCCGTCATCATGCCAAGAGGTCGATTACACATGTGACCTGCAAAAAGAAGAAGAAATTCATAAAAAAATTGGTGAAATTTAACACTCGCTCCATGGACAGCGAGAAGTTCTATCGTTAAAAGTGAAAATAGTCGTTTCCATTTACATTACCTGCAAAAACTTTCGGACGATTATAATTTCGGACAAAAAAAAGCGTCCGAAAATAAAAAAGTCCGAAATTTTGAAGCGTCCAAAATTTCAAACGTCCGAAACATTTACAGTACAGTATAACATTTTTAAGTTGCTTCAAAGCTCTTAGGTTCCTTTATGAGGCGAACTCTAGCTGAGAAACTGATTGAGATACGTAACGGCTCGATAGAATTTGTGTCATTTACCCCTCGGTTCATGCATATCTCTAAAGCCACGAGGTTGCAGTAAAACTATCGTTTTTACAGATGTTGCTTCAGTTCAATTCGTGTTTTGTAGGCGTAAATTTACTTTAGCTTTGTTTGCTCACAGTGTCCGAAATTTGTCCGAAATGAGATAAAAAGTGTCTGAAAATTAAACGTCCGAAATTTAACGTGCGAATTTTTTTGGAAGTATGCAATTTTTTTTAAACAAAATATGGTTGAACTGAATCAAGTAAATTTCAGTGTTAGGGGTTAATCAAGGTTAACTAACGTTAACTAAGGTTTGTAAGTTCTTCTTAACTTAAACCCCTTCTTTCATTCAATCAAAAAAGGAAATCATTGATTAATGTAGGTCAGAGTTGCAAAGTTTAATTCGTAGATGAAATCCTAAATTGCAACTCTTCAAATCAAAGCTATTGAGCAGTACTTTCAGGTTTTCATGTTCACTTTTAAACCAAATCAAAGTAAAACTCTAAGTTAAAATGGGTTCACTTACGAAGTGACAAGTTTTTTTCCCAACATTTAGTATTTTTACCTTTACTGCAGCCATACAACTCAAGTCTCATAGAAATATGACCATGCCAAGTTCTGGGATAAAGTTTTACAAAGCGAGCACGAATCGGTGTCCGGAAGCGACTGATAACCACTATCTGCCTCTCAGAGTTTCCTTGGAAAACCTGTTTGGAAAAAAGTTTAAATCAACAAGTAAAGCTATGCAGTTGAGAACAAGTATTTGTTAATGTGTGATATTTTCAGTTGTTTGACACATGGATAGTCTTTACAGAAATAAAAGGAAAACAGCTGATTTCATAACTTCATGAAATTTTATTTAGTGGTGCATGTTAATTATAGAAAGCCACAAACTCACATTCGCTAGGACTAAGTAGAAACACAATTACTCTTACATCTCAACCAATTTATACCTTGTACACCTCCATCATGTCAGGTCAGGACAGAAAAAAAAAACCCACTACTCAAGATGTAATGTCAATTCAGTGCATGGAACCTGGAGAATTGACCTTTTCGCCTTTGAAGTATGCCAAACCTCTGATAACTTCAATAACGGCTATTTGCCCTTTGAATGGCCATTTTATGAGGATTAAAATGGATTATAATTAAAGGAGTTCAGTCACGGTGCTTTGTCTTTTTTTTTTTTTTTTTNTCAGAACAGAAAAAAACCTGCTAGTCAAGATGTAATGTCAATTCAGTACATGGAACCTGGAGAATCGACCTTTTCGCCTTTGAAGTATGCCAAACCTCTGATAACTTCAATAACGGCTATCTTCCCTTTTTTGATTTGCCGTTTTATGAGGATTAAAATGGATTATAATTAAAGGAGTTCAGTCACGGTGCTTTGTCTTTTATTTTTTTTTTGGCCACGTACTAAATCTCCTTTAAATGGAAGGAAACCTCAAAATAATAGTTCATGACTACGATAGAAAAACATCAAAGAGATAATAATAAGCGATAAAGGAACAAGGATGGTCAAGGATGGCGAAGATTGACACGGATTGCAAACGCCGAATTTGAAAAATTTAAGCTAAACTTTTCAAAATGTACAAACCGTGACTGAGCTCCTTTAACTTAGTGAGACATACCCTTGTTCTCCCCCCTTCCTTGTAGAAGCGGAAATGAAATCCGTTCATCCCGTAAGCAATTGTGTAACTCTTCACCCACTGATTAGCGTCATATCGTCCTTGAATTCCAATCTTAATCACGATTGCTTTGTTTCCGAGGTCAATCTGGAACCACTGCCGTCTGTTGTTGTACCGTGCAATCCATGAACCAAATTTCGAGCCACTGCGCATGGCATTTAGCCTGCCTTGATAAGCGGCATAATGGGCGTTGTAGATGGAGGAAGCGGTGAAAACGACGTCGGGCAAGCGGCCGTCTTCTGAGCCAAGAGGGATGTCACAACGCTCTGGAACAAAGAAAGAAGAATATGAATGAACTACGGTTACTTTCAACATGTGCCAATAAGCAATGAGAATTGTGCAGATAGCTTTTACATTGTCCGCTTTCTGTTCTTCTTACGCCTTGTTATGACTGTGTTGGAGTAGCTGGAACTTACATTTTCCTCTCTTATTTCTACTTATCATCTTGACTGAATATTGGAGTACTACAGTTGAAACCCATAAGTGGGTAATCACTCAATATCGTCTAGAGGGAGATGTTAGACATACAGTGATCAGCTGGAGAATATGGCACACGACATTACAGACAGCATTGGAGGACTCTCATTGATGACCTATACTCCAGGAGGAGCAAAGGTAACCTAAGTAAAAACTCAATATCGGAAGCTCATATAATAACGGACAGCAAAAACTTAGTGTCTTAAGAAAGGTTCTCATAAATCAAACCGGTTAAGGCAGACACCCTGTTAACTGGACAAGTGATTTCTGTAGTCCCAAGGTATTCATCTCACCTGGTGTGCAGCCGTGTAGTTCAACTCTCATGGAGATATGTCTGTACCAACCACGAGGGTGAATACGAACACACCGTGCTGTCATTGGTGGAGTCAATGTCCTCGTGACGATTGAAGCTCCGTCATAGTTTCCAACGAAGTACTACAAGAAAAAAAAAACGGTTTCATTGAATTCAACTGAAAAAATATATAGACCTATTTTATGAATTTTCACTTGCTTATTGCCATATCAATTGTTAATACGGTTTTGATTTTTAAATAAACAATTGATTTACTTCATGATTCATGAATAAAATTTGCATCTAGAAGCGTCTCTTTATGAGGAAAAATTTCATTCCTACCTTCAGTCGATCTCTTTGTTTGTAAGGTACAAAGTGCACGCAATCCACACTGTGTGCAAGCGTATAGCGTGTCACCCACTGTTTGACAATTTTCCTTCCTTGTGTTGATAACATGGTGATCTTGTAGATGCGGCGCATATCAAACTGAATCCATTGGTGATGATTGTTGTGTCTGGCTGCCCAGCCTCCCACGTACCGACCAGTGCGCACGCGCTTCAGTCGTCCAAGGAATGGTGCGTGGTAGCGGTCCCACATGGATGATGAAGTAATCTGAGCATTTTTGATGCGACCGCTCTGGACGCCAAGAGGATAGCTACAAACTCTTGTCAGTTCTGCAAAACATAATTAATTTTTTGTTCCCTTTTTATCAGGTAAGAACAAATTATTTTGACAGTCAACTCCTTCATTAAACCAGAGAGATTGGGCGCTTACCATTTAGCTTGAAAATCCAAAAATTCCAGTTGAACTGAAGTCAAATGGAACAGTAATTTTCCAGAAAATCCGTTCGGTAATGATAGACTACCTCCAGAAGTAGTCCTCTTTTTTCGTTCGGAATGGAACGGCGGAAATTTCCTTCCCATTTGATAAATTTTCCAGTTTCCAGTCTCTCATCATCCGGAAACGACAACGGGAAATTGAATTGTAAATGGTAAGCGCCATATCGTTCGGTTGATTTGCTGATTTTGGAAAAACCCTTACTATTAAAAGGTCATTCCAGCCGTTTATTCTGATAAATGGTAAGCCACCTCTTTACAGCTCTCAGACGACATTTTAACAAGTTTACCTCAGTGTGTCTGTGTGCTTAAGCCACCCCTTAAGGTACACACTTCTCTGTAAGAGAAGTATTTGTCGCACACTTCTCTAAGACTGTCACTTCCCCAATTAAGTCAGAAAATTCTTCACGATAGGACTGACAGTTCTCTAAATTAGAAATCTATCCAAGCAGACTCTTCTTTAAGTCAAACACCTCCACAAGACTGATAATTTCTAATCGTACCTCTCTGACATCCGTAAAGTTCAGCCCTCATGGATATGTGACTTCTCCAGGCTTTAGGGTGAATACGGACATACTGTGCTCTGAATGGTCGCAACAAGGTATATGATACGATCGAATTTCTGTCTGAGTTACCACGGAACATCTAGCAAGATAAAGTGGTGAAAGAATAGTTGAAAACTAAGTGCTTTAGCATAATTGCTACTGGTACGTAATGGATTCAGTTATTCGACGTACGAACACGATGTGCGGGCTATTTTGAAAATTGTTCTCAAAGCTACGCATACTTTGGTGGCCTTACGGATTGTGGTGTGTTGGCATTCACTAGTCAACGAAATTTAAAGCCAGTCAGACACAAATTAATCTCTTGGACAAGCGTCCTTAGCAAATTTTGTGTGTGCGAACGAAAAACAAATTTCTTATTAAAGGAATTCTTATTTAGTTGACTAAATTCTTTGAAGCCTTTCTATACCCTATATGCATTTCAGAATGTTCATAAACGCAATTTCGCCACAACAATACGTTTAAGATGAACATCTGAACACAAACCTCAGAGAACTTACCCTAACTTTCCTCCTTTCCCTGTAAGCTTTAAAGATGGACCCATCTCCATAGGACAACACATACCGAGTCACCCACTGATGAGCATCTCGTCTGCCTTGTGTTACAATTCCTGTAACACGTGCAATATTACCGAGGCATATCTGAAGCCACTGTCGAGCATTATTAACACGTGCGCTCCAAGAGCGGATAGAGTTGATTCGTCCCAGCCATGGCGCCAAGTGGTGATTGTAGTATGTCGAGGCACTAAGGGCTCCGTCTACGATTCGTTTATCCTCCAAGCCAAGTGGAAGAGCACAGCGTCCTGAGAAGTCGGAGAGTCAACAGATCAGTTATGTCTTATGTTGATGTGGGAAGAAACTACTCCGAGGAAAACGATGTAAGGTAAATATAACGCCAGAGTTTCAAAATAAAAAAGTAGAACATTAGTTCAACTACTTGTGTAGCTGCCACAACTTGATTAGAAGTATTAAATTATAATTAAAAGAGTACACACTTCTAAGTATGGCAGTCTAAATTAATCTAGGTACTATGGACCAAACCTCTGGAACTCTGTAGGCGACAAACTAAAACTTTACTGTTAACATCAAAACTTTCACCAAGGAAAGTAGGAGAGAGACATTTTACACATGTAATCGCTGTTTCTGCAATAGCTAGAATCTTTCTACTTTCCACACGTGAGTCAATGTTGTATTGTGAAGGTGAGCAGAATCGGCAAGGAAAATGGTGTAAGGTAAATATTTCGCCAGATAGTTTCAAAATAAAAAGGTAGAACATTAGTTCAATGGTACGTTTGCGACACCCTAAGCTTAGTAAAAGTAATAGATTAGAATTACAAGAGTAAGCACTTCTAAGTACGGTCTAAATACATTTGCGTGCTATGGACTAAAACTCTGGTACTCTCTGGACGACAAAACTGCTGCTAATATCAAACATTTTAACTTATGAGAGAGACATTATATTATATTCGACACCTGTAATTGATATTTGTGCATTAGTTAGAATCTTTCTGCCTACCATACGTGAGCAAATGTTTTAGTATTTTATATTTTAAGTTTAAATTAAGTTATAAATTGATTAGCCTATTATATTTATGTTGCAAATTGAAGTTATTACATGCGCACATTTAATTCTCTTACTCGATCTTAACTAAAGTATCAGTAAACAAACAAACAGTGTTTACCAGCTGGACAGCCATTGAGTTCAACTCTCATGGAAATGTGTCTGTACCACCCTCTGGGTAGAAAACGTATGAATCTCGCGCGGGCGACTGGGAAGAGTCTGTGCTGCTTGATAGTGTTCCTATCACGGTTTCCAAGGAAATACTAACAAAATAAAAGAGAAAGAGATTAACAGCAAAAGCAATTAACAAAGCTACTTTTTGTCTTTACACCGAAACCAACAGACCATATTTGTATTATCGGTATTGGACCGGAACTAGCTTGCAACTGAGGCTAACGCAAGGAATCTTTTCAAACGCAAATGTATTCATCGTTTGTTAATGATATTACCCACATGAGCCTCCATTGCAAGCTATATTTCCAGTCCAACAGCAAGAATACGAATACGGTCTACTCAAACAGTGACATACCCAAGGTCTTCCTTGTGACCAATAAATGGTGTAATGTGCTCCATCAATACTATACGACAGCATATATTTCGTCACCCACTGACTAGCATCACTTCTTCCTTGAGTCGCAACACTTGTCACCTTCATCGGTACTCGCATGTCAATCTGCAGGAATTGATGATGGTTGTTCACCCTTGCTGACCATGCGCCCATAGTCCTTCCCGTTCGCTTCTGGTTCAATCTGGCCAAGCGCGCGCCGTGGTTTGCATCCCACTCGGATGAGGCGCTGATCTGGTTGCTGCGTATGCGGCGGTTTTCCATTCCCATTGGGCGATTACATTGTGGTCCTACAAGTTACAGTTGGTAAGCAAAGTAAGTATCGTTCCTAAACTTGATTGTTGAAAGGCTAGATAATTTCCATCCATCAGGACCCAGTTATTCAAGGGGTGGATAACACTATCCGATGGACAAATCAAGATAGTGTTTGACCACATTTCGAAACACCTCGAAGTTTGTCAAAAAATACTCCGTTACGCGTCCTATTTTCAACTCTCTTCTCGGTGCTTGGAAATGTGGTCAAACACGGTTTTTCGTGTTTGATATTACATATAAAAGGTACAGACCGATGATACATCCGAAGAACTCAACCCTCATAGACATCCATCCACGATACGCTCTGGGGTGAACACGAACATATCGAGCAACAAATGGTTTGTTAAGGGTGTGTGTTACCACGATGTAACGGTCGTAGTTGCCACGGAATAGCTGCAATAAAAATGAAATCGTACAAAATTAGTTGAGTCGATAGATCTGTAGAAAAGCCGAGGGGGCAGAAACTTCACTAGAATCCTAAACGTATCGGCAAATAACTGAAAATGATTAGCACGTCCCAAGTAATATAGTCGGAAGAAGAACAAACGTTTCTCGGCAAATTTTCGCACAGTTTTGTACTCTTACTATTAAAACATTGTGACCACTCGTGAGCATTCGGAACATTAACACGTCAGTAGTGCACAATGAGGTTAAGGCATTGTTATTTAGCAACATGTCGTAACGTACGTAGGTGATGAAAACTGCAGACTTGATACAAATTTCTTCCTCAAAGCTGACCTTAACTGGTGCTTGTTCAATGGAGTGAACATGTCTCCGAGACATTACTAAAAACAGTGTTTCATCAAGATTTCAGTCTTGGACGATCCCAAATATAGATATGTGTCAGGTGTTACTAGAAATACATGCTAGTCAATGAAATTACAGCAAAGGTCCGAAACAGATCACGCTAGCGGCCAAACTGGTAACAGTATTATTTGGTTAAAAGCTTCTTAGGGTATCGCCTGAGGACACATTTTACCTTGATTACTTTTCGTTCGGCGTAATATTTATAAGTAGATCCATCACGGCTGTAAGTTATTCTGTAAGTCTTGACCCACTGTTCTGCGTCATGTCGGCCCTGAGTGGCGATGCCTGTTACACGAGTCAGTGCTTCAAAATCAATCTGCAAGGAAATCGTATGTGAGATAAAAGCTAACAGTTTGTGAAACTAATACGCACATTTGTTCACTCAAAGACATCTTGTACAGTTGTACAGTGGTACCGTTGGACACCACTAATTCAAACTCGGTTATTTCGAATTCCTCGTTATTTGCAACTCAAACCCATTTCCTTTGGATTTGCCCTTCACTCATTTACTATCGGCTTTTTCGAAATCCCGATATTTCGAACTATTTTTCGTTTCCCCAGAGAGTTCGACTGTCTATAACGTAGGAAGCCTATTCTGCAAATAGTGCGTATTTAAAGTTGATTGATTGATTGATTGATTGATTGATTGATTGATTGATTGATTGATTGATTGATATCTTCTTTTTGGTTTCGAGGCTCTAGAAAACCCATAGAGAAAAATTAAACATTTTTATTTTTCATCGAGTATATACGCTTAGTACCCATTTGAACTATTCACTGTACCTGCAAATACTGTTTGAGATCATTTCTACGCGCGCACCATGATCCACCCAATCTTCCCACTCTCCTCTGATGCAGGCGAGCATTCCATGGTCCACAATAGAAACTGTGGTACGATGAAGCTGTGATTAACGGATTGGCAATACGCCGGTCCGCCATGCCTAGAGGCATGTTACACTTGTCTAGAAAAAAAAAAAAGAGAAAAGGCATGTATTGTTAGGCTGTTATTTCACTGCTGATTTACTTGTACAACGCAGTTCAACTTCAGATCTCAAATATCTTAGGCGCACATGAGCCAACTGAAAAACAAAACGTACAAATTGAGTTCAACAGGCTCACCGTACGACCCTGAAAAGTTTGTGAACAGTTGATTTGATATAAGTTGGGCATGTTTATGGTGCAATTAGAACTTAGATCAATACACAGGGATAGTTACAGTGTATCATTAAGGGTTTCTTAGGGTTCACAATCTAACTGTTTGATTTTCTCCCGCGACACAACAACAGACTTCAGAAAATTCTCCTTTTCCTTTCATTCTGGTAGCTAGGTGTGAGGTTTATGTAGCCAGTTGGCGAGTTTTTGACGACAAATAACGTAATTAAAACAATCCAAAAACCTATTCACTTACGCTCTGGGCACCCATAAAGTTCCAGTCTCATAGCTATGTAACTGTGCCAGCCCTTGGGTACGACACGGAAATACACAGCTTTGATTGGCGGAGAGAACGCTTGGGTCTTCACAGAGTGACGATCATTGTTGCCTGGGAAATACTGCAAAAGAGGAAAAGATATTTTTGCGTAATTTTAGTAGGATTCAAATATATTTGTCGATTTAAACCTGAATGCTTTCGATTCGGTTCCTCCCGTTATGTTCCTATTCTTTTTATGATAGCTCCAGTTTACTTACAAGAACTTGTTGGTATATCAAAACAACGGCTCTTATTTTATAGTTTTCGTATTTATTCCAACATTTACCTGCTTTGCCAAGCGCGGCAGAGTCCAAACAAAATTATACATTGTTGAAGTTATTGCTAAGGCTAACAGGCATAAAGTCTGAGAGAAAAAAATATTTTGTTGACCAGTTTCCCCTTCATTGCTATCCCTAACAAGACAGGTGTATGACTGAAATTCAGACAAAAAATTCCTTACTGATTTTATGCTTTGATCTGAGACATGCGAGGTAACAATAGGCTTGAGAAGAAAAACTGCTCTTTTCAGTGGCTTTCAACAGTTAGCAGATACTTGCTCCTGTTTTTTTCCACATAAGAATCCCACAACTTAGCTGCATACCTTAAAATTCCCGTACTCCATGTAGTACTCAAAGTGCATGTTATCCTGGCTGAAAGCCACCAAATAACGCGTTACCCACTGATTAGCGTCATGCCTTCCCTGTGTCGCAATTCCTGTGATTTTCATTGGTCGACCCAGAGCGATCTGTAGATATTGATTGGCATTTCGTATACGTGCTACCCAGGCTCCCATATAGCGGCCAGTACGTGAGCGGTGGAGTCGAGCGAGGTATGGACCGTGGAACACATTATAGGATGAGGACGCAGTCATAGCAGTGTTCTTGATTCGGCCGCTCTGTATGCCAACTGGAGCGGCACACGGTCGAACTGGAAATTGAGATTTTGGAGTTAATTACTGAACATGCATACGTGTAGACCAAATTGCACTTTTAGGATGATAATAGTTGTGAACAAATCTGGCACACAACACCAGACAGCAAATGCTTGTAGAATTTATACTCATGTCCCACTTCCATTTCGACATACCACTAAAAACGAAACCTGCTTAAAAAATGTTAATCACAAGTTTGCTATTATACACATGTGACAACTACCATATTGCTTGAGGTACTGTACATACCAGCCAGACAGCCATAGAATTCAACCCTCATCGAGATGTGGCTGCGCCAAGATTTGGGATGGATTCGTACAAACTGTGCTTTAAAAGGCGGGACAAATCTGTAGGCTACCACTGTATGGCGATCAAAATTACCACGGAATACCTACAAGAAATACGCACATGGTCACTGTTAGTAACAATATTGCTATATAACACTCACCTACCGTCATTTTATGTATGGTCAAATTATTGTTAAGCCAAAGCACATATCATTTTGTGAGCTTTAAAGTTCAACTCAGGGCATATTAAAAGTGATACTTTTACGTCTCATTTACAAAGTAGAAAATCAAACGAATTTTCAGCTGATGATATAGGAAAAAAAATGCAAGCTAAATGTGAAGTAAGTCAAGACAAGAGAAGTATTTCAGGACTAAAATTGTACGTATCCTCGTTTGTCACGATGTGCCAAGTCACCCTTACGGTAAATTAAGACCGCCTTTGAAACTAAATTTTTCTTCTTTGATTAAGATGCCATATGAAGCAATTCTTGAATATACTTTGAACATTAACTTCATTTTTTTCTAGCTCTGGGGAAAATAATCTAGAAAAATGGCTTTTACACAGTAGCACATCGTGCGAAGTATACTACTGAAAGTTGGAGATTCCCATGTGAGTGAGCAGTACCAGTTCACATGCATCCCATGTTTATGTAGACAAATCAACGCACCCTTGTTCGTCCGTACTGCTTGTAAGAGAAGAATGTTCTTCCATTTCTGCTGTATGACACAATATATGACGTCACCCACTGGTGAGCATCTTGCCTTCCTTGAGTAGCCACGCCCTCTAGGCGACCCAAGACACCAAAGTCAACCTAATTACAGGTAAATTAATATTATTAACCAAATCAATGAAAGAGTACCAAAACGAACTATTGTGACAATGAAAATTGTTCAGTTATGTCAAGAAAAAATTGAATCCCTCATTACTACCCAACCAGTTAGCTTAAGAGTCTTTGGCTTAGAGTACACGCAACCTAATTACTTTCTAATTTGACTTAAGAAACCGGTTAAGCCTAGATTCAGAATTTATGTATCTCCTGTCCTTATTTATCACTGACTGAGAAAGTTACTTCATTGTGATCGGCTGAAATAAGCAAAAATATAGTTAATTTTTCATTTGCACTACAGCGCAAATTATACAGGCGCATTCGTAATTTTCATAGTCATAAAATAAATGAGTAATCGTATGAAAGATCGAACAATCAAGATTTACATTACTCATGATATATGAAAATTATTTTAAATTGCGCTCGCCTTATGGTTCCTGCAATTTTGAGAGAATTTTCAAATAAAGCCTTCACTGCACTCGCATTCATACAATTATTTTGACTATACTTGTAAAAGTTGTACCAGAGTTAACCAATGTATACTTACCTGCAGCCATTGTCCAGCGTTATTTCTCTGGGCACACCAGGCACCAGTCCTACCACGACCAGCAACCATATTGAGCCGCCCGCGATCTGGGCCATGTCTAGAGTTGTGACTTGAAGAGGCAGACAGTGCACCGCTTGGGATGCGGCGATCTTCTATACCAATAGGAACCTTACATCGTCCTTGAAAGTACATAAGAGAACACATAATTTCAAGTTCAAGTTGCATGAAGAAAAAGCTTCAAAATACTGTTCAATACAATGACAAAACGACACACCGAAACCTCCGAATCTTTGCTGACTTCCAAATTACTAGAAAACAACTTTCCACAACAACAGAATTTATTTACCCCAATTAATAGCTTATATGTACAATCATTTCAAATGATCTTTTGAAAAATTGAAAGGTTACCAGCTCCCTGAAATAACTAAAAAGCTAAAGATGCCAGGGAGCTGGTTTATTTTCACTGACTATAATTCGATTGATCAAATTTACACTAAAAATGTGCTGCTTTACTTTCTTTAACGGGAAAACATTGTTCATTGATCATTATAAAATGGTCATCACCAACACAACTTAAAACCAAAACCAGAAGAAACAAAACTCTAACTCTGACTTTGAATTTTCTTGCTAGGATCAACAAATATTAAACGCTAGCACTTGTTTGGCCATTGGAAAAAAAAATTCCCGAAATCATTTTTTTAGGGCCTACGGAAACCATAACAATATTTCAAGCTGATATCAGAAGAATAAAGTAAAATGAAAATAAGTCACTGCACTAGAAGAAACAGTTAACCTTACCGATTGTACAGCCATAGAGCTCAACTCTGATTGAGATGTGTCGGTACCAGGACCTGATGTGAAGTCGCACAAAACGGCCTCGGATTGGTGGAACAAGGGCATGGGAAACAACTGTGTTCCTATCGCGGTTGGCTTGGAAAATCTGATGAACGAAGATCAAGTAAAGTACCTCAGGTTAAGGAATGAAATACAATTTTCACTGACCGTACATGTGATATGACGGATCGAACAAAAAGTAGCCCAATTACGCTTTTAATTTGCTGTTATTTCGTTGGCAGTAAGTATCTAGCATTGGCCGTACAATGCCGGCCCCTTATCAAAACATGCAGCGACCTTAAAATAAAACGTCTTGACTTTACACTGACTTTGACAAAAATGTTAAGCATTTTCAGTTCCCGAGTATTAGCCGATCGCGAAATAAGTTTCTTATTTCCCGACTTATTTCCCCGTCCACTAGCAGCCACGATATTTTAGCTGTACAAGAATATTTCGAAATGAAACCCACCTTCCTCGTATTGCGTTCAAAATAAAAAGCAAAGTAAACTCCATCCTGACTGTACAGTAGATAATATGATGTGACCCATTGGTTAACGGTGGGTCTACCTTGAGTCGATATACGGACGATTTTAGTGGGTCTCCCCAAGTCAATTTGTAACCACTGGAAGGCGTTATTCGCTCCTGCAGACCAGCCGCCCATGTACCTCCCCCTGCGTTGGTTTTGTAGCCGAGCTAAATAAGGAGCATGATGATTATCCCAGCGAGATGATGACGTAATGGCGACATTTCTGATGCGGCGATTCTGCATTCCCAACGGACGATTACACAGTTTACCTGTGAAGGCAACATCACATACATTTTTACAGAGACGTTCCTGGTTTTCGAGAAGACTTCGGTATGAAAATGTTTCTCCTCGTAAGAACTTCAATTGTACAAGACCATTCATGGCCATATAGCCAGACAAAAAATTTAATAAGGCAATGTCCATGAAAAAAGTATGACTGAAGCAATGTCCATGAAAAAAATGACTGAAGCAAACTCCATGAAAAAAGTATGAGTGAGACAATGTTTATGGTTAAATTCTCTTCTTAGTTATTTAGGGTGTTTATGATGACTGTAAACAACAAAAACAAAAAGGCAAGTGTCTCGGTTGGCCTCTTACTAGTTACGGCCCAAGCAATTTATAAATTCGCTGGGAAGAAATCATGCAGTTTGTTATAAGTTGGAATTTGTTACATCAAAGTCTTTTCATACTCTACTGTATATCACAAAGTTCCGTAACTGTTGTTGGAAATTTCGCGTCACCCACAAGGTTACTGCTACTTTTTAGATTACTCCCTTTTTTGTTTGTTTTATAAGGTGTTTGTGGCCTCAAGATTACTTGCATCAGAATTATTTAGCTTCAGCTGGCCTCACCTAATCTGCAGCCATAGAGTTCCACTCTCATGGAGATGTGACTGCGCCATGTTCGGGGGTGAATACGAACATACCGTGCTTTGAAAGGGCGCAGGAAGCGATGGGTTACGACGAAGTTCCTCTCGAAGTTCCCTTTGAAAACCTGTGTAAAACAAATGAAACAAGAGAACACGTCAGAAAGTTATTTCACATACAAACTTCACAGAAGGCTACTTAAATTAATGACATTGACAAAGAAAATTACTTCACCTTAATCCTTCTTCCTTCCCTATATGGGATGAATCTGACATTGTTCATACTGTAGGACACTGCATAACTCGTGACCCACTGGTCAGCGTCATATCTACCCTGGGTAGCGATTCGCTTGAGTCGAGAGACTGTGCCCAGGTCTATATTCAAGTACTGCCTGGCATTGTTGTACCTGGCGGTAGATAAGTAAGACATAACAGCATAGATAAGTTCAAGTGCCAGTTTCTCTGGCAAAGTAAGTTTCTTTTCTATCATACATGATACTGAAGGGAAACTGGCCAAAGAAAAATAGGCCATTTTCTACAAATAGGGCATTTTCGTATTCTCGGTATTGGACTGGAACTAACTTGCAACTGAGGCTGATGAGTCATTTCAAATGCAAATGATGGTAATCTGTTTTTATTGATATTCCTCCGCATGAGCTACATTGTCAGCTAGTTTCAGCCCTATATCGAGAACACGAATATGGCCTGTTGGGAACACCAAAACCTTACTTACTTACAACAATATAAAAAGTTAATATGATAAAGAGGTATTTTGCCGAAACACTGAACGAAACCACAAAATTAAGTCTGAGCGTGTCCAAATGTAATCGTACAGTACTCACTTTGCGATCCAACCTCCTCGAACATAGCCGTGATTCCTGGACTGAAGTCTGGCATTCCACGGTCCGTAGTAATAGTTGTACATGGACGATGCCGTAACAGCTTGTTTGGTAACGCGACCGTCCTCCATTCCCAAGGGAACATCACAAGGATCTTATATGAACCAAGGAAGAGATTAGCCAAAAGGAATGCATAAGTAACAACTGAATGAGTAATAAAGTACATGTAACTCGGCTGAATGAGTAATTTATAACGTGCAACTGAACTAAATTTCTACGAGTTTTGATAACAAGAACAAAGTGAAATTATTCTTCATGAAATGGGTACCGTTATTCTTATATTCCCGGGAGCCTTGGGTAAGGGTGGGTTGAGTCGCCAAAAGGCCTCTGAATTCTTTTTTTTATTATTATTATTATTATTTTGTCTCAACGTATAGCATCCTCAAGGACTAAGGGGGAGAGTCGGGTCAATATTTTTGGGTCAGAAAGAAGGCAACCGGGACTATTTACCCCTGGGTCTCCGAGGATGCACCTATAGTTGTGTGTTATATGAAAACAACAACAACATACTACGTTTTTTTCTCAAGGTCGGTTGATGAGACAGGGGTGAAGTGCCCCAAACTCAAAATTGGAGCAAACGACAGTCAGCTCTCTGGCCAGAACAGGAAAACAGTAGAAAATAACTGTCCATAAGATTTTGAATTAATAACTGCAATATCATGCAAGCAAGTCACATTTCTACTAAAGACCTTCTTTCTGTCTATTGAATACTGTGTATCACTTAAGACCATTACCTGCTCTGCAGCCATAAAACTCGGCTCTCATGGAGATGTAGCCATGCCATCCCCACGGGTGCAGACGAAGATAGCGAGTTTGTATTGGTGGAGACAGGACGTTATCCACAACGCTGATACGGTCACGATTGGCAGTGAAGTACTACAAAGAGTAAACAAAACATTGTTCATCTAAATGAGCTGAAAGCACTTCACTATCACTATAAGGAACTGAGGTAATACACACGTTGCCAAAAACGTCCGTTGCTAAGTTAACATGTGCACGATTTGTTTTTCTGCAAAACCACAATGAGGCAGTGTTGCAAGATAGGTTGCACCCAATAACAGACAGTTAAACGTCAAACTGCTATACTTACAGGGACTTTAATAACTGTTCTGCTTCGAGCTGATAACTGGTCATTTAGACACATGCCCAGTTGTATAAGCTTCAACTCGAATCTTAGGAAGACCATAGTGTAAATATGATACGATTTCGTGTTTAAATAAAGATTGAATTGTCTTGACTTATACCATCTGTAAGCATCAAAAGGAAACAAATCTGACCTTATCCTGACTTCTCTGTCTGTAGGTTGCCCAGTGCAGCGTGTCCAAGCTGTATGTCAGCTTGTATCTTGTCACCCACTGGTTGGCATCTCGTCTTCCCTGTGTAACAATCTTTCGCACAGTTGTAGTTCTTAAAAAGTCGACCTTAAACCACTGGTTACGATTGTTATGTCTGGCAATCCAGCAGAAAGGCTTGTGAAGTCGTCCATTTGGTGCTGTGTAGCGTCCATTGTAAGCCGATGAGGAGGTGATTCGTGCATTGGGGATTCTTCCAGATTCCAGGCCCAGTGGACGGTTGCAAAGTGGGGCTAAATGGCAACAAAACAGCAACAACTAAGAAGAAGGTCCACCACACCTTGTACTTGTTTATGACATTTTGTGGCTTACAGTTGTTTTAGTTGGAAAATTTTATAACCAGTTTGATTCTCATTTTCTTTTGTTTCAGATACTGATACGAAATTTTAAGCAAAGTTAAATAAAAAGAAACTTTGAAAAAAGGCAAATTAAATGGAAAATTAAAGGTAAATTGAAGGTAAATGAATGTAAAAACGTCACGTTTAAAAAGGATTCAAATCAACTTTTTTGATCTTTGATTCTCTTTGGTTTATTGACTCTTTCTTATGCAAGTAAATATATGAAGCATACCTCAACTGCGGAATTAAGATTTAAAGATATGAGGGATAATCGAAGACTTGAAACCTAAGCAGTAAGTTCAACTATTTAAGGTTTCCTTCAATGTGAATGTGCGTAATTTAGTACATCTCAAAATATGACTTATTAGCACATAATAACATGACCAATAAGTTCATGTAACGACTTACCAATAGGGCATCCTATGAATTCCACTCTCATGGACATCCAGCCATACCAGGTCAGCGGATAAACACGGATGTATGAAGCGGCTATGGATCTGGGGAAAGTGTTGGTGACTATTGTGTGACGGTCACTGTTGGCTGTGAAAACCTGTCAAACAGGAATGCATAGAACAGCAGGTATTAATTGTAAATGCGACCGAATTACCCACCGTGTTTTAACATTCATATAAGACCAAAGCGTTTTGGAACGAAGCTAAGTTAAGTGTTAGAACTGATATTTTGAAGCGGTTGTTAAAGGATGAGTGGTGAAGAGACAGAACAAAAGATGTTGACAAAGTTTTTGTTCGTTAGGAGAGTAGAGAAACTTTACGAATGGCCAATTCGCTCTGTGAAACGTGTCTGCAGGGCCGGGAATCATGGTAGTTGTATTCATCAGAAAAAATATCCTGTCTAAGATGATGAATATAACTACCATAATTCCTTGCAAGCCCATCTCATAGAGGATGGAGGAACCCCTTGTACTGCTTCTATTATTACCCTTAATCACTGGAGAACACTTTACCTTTGGATACTTTACAAATTTAAATCCATCTCTACTAAAAGTCAGGATAAAGGTCTTGACCCACTGGTTAGCATCTTGTCGACCCTGAGAGCGGATTCCTGTAAGTCGAGCTAAGACCCCAAAGTACACCTGAAGCCACTGGTTACGAACGCTGCGCCGCGCGCTCCATGACCAGCGGTGATTGATGCGGCCATGCCATGGTGCAAGGTAGCGATTGTAGTAGGTAGAGGCTGTCATGGCACCATCACGAATGCGCTTATCTTCCAGACCAATCGGAACAGAACACCGTGCTACGGAACGATAAATATAACACTGACGTAAACTGTACTGCTCAAACTCAAAATGATGAACATGAGGGTGTGTGGATAATAAGCATAAAATTATTTAGATTTTATTTCTCCGTTTCTTCCTTAGTTTTAGTATCGATTGAGAATATCTATCAAACACCCAAGACAGTGTTTGACCACATTTTCAAACACCCCGACGTTCGTGAAAAATACTCCGCTACGCGTCGTATTTCAACTCTCTTCTCGGTGTTTGGAAATGTGGTCAAACACAGTCTTTCGTGTTTGACATATTACGTAAAATATCAACTTCTAAAAACGTTAAAAAAAAAGCCCTTCGGTGAAATTTTTCTTCTTGTCTTACTTGCTGCCAGATAAAGACGAGTGAGATTTTTCTTTGCATCGCATTATCCATTTTGTATTTTAATGAAAAACATTTTTGTTTCTTTGTCGTATATTTCTTCCATTTTTCATCAAAACCACTTAACCACTTATAAGCTTTGAAAAATATTTTTCACGAAATGTTTTTTAAGCTTTTTTATTATTTTCATTTACTTTCTTTGTATGCCATTTTAAGACAAATACAAAAGAAATGAAAAAAAAAATACATTAAAAAATTACACTACTTAGTTATTAACGTTACCTGCAACACATCCATAGAACTCCACTCTCATAGAGATGTGTCTGTACCATCCCCATGGATGTACTCGGATATAACGCGTTATTATTCGAGGGAACAAACGATATTGAACAACAGAATTCTGATCTCTGTTTCCTGTGAAATACTGAGAGAAAAACATGAAGGGTTTTTAGTATCAGGAGTACAAGGATGTAAACAGGTCAATGTGGTGTAAACAAGTTCTGTAGTCAATGAAGTGTTATAAGTCATCGCAGGAGCCCATCACCGTGATGGGCTCCTGGTCATCGCCATATCCAAGAATTTACCAAGGGTCTTGATGGAGTTCAATTTTAACTGTCAGCTGTTTTTAACTGATAGCTGAGATCTGAAAAAACTGACTCAGAGCTGTGAAATGGGTAGTCTTCTCCGCAGCCGTTTTTGGGATGTGCGTGACATCCCAAAAAACGGCTGCGGAGGAGACTATGAAATGGACTGATGTTTTTGAATTTTGATATTTTTAGCCGAGAAATCGGAGATTCCAGCCGCCCTATCCAGATCCTAATCTCACTTATAACTTGCGAAAATATTTGAATGTTAATGCTAATGTTTCTACACTTGTAACTACCAATGGATAAAGCCATATTGGTCGAACTATCTGAAGATGCTCAAAACAGGGCCGTAGACAGAAAAAAAATATGACTGTAGCAATGTCCATGGTTAAATTCTCCCCCTACGCATAGGTGGTGTTTATGATGACTATAAACAACAACAACAACAAATAAGCAAGTGCCTCGGTTTAATCGGTTTGCCTGTTTCTTGCTTCGGTCCTGGAATGTACTAACATCCCCTCAAGGGCGCAAAACTGTCACTTTGGCTTTCACAGAACATTTCTTCCTAATATGCCATATAAGGCGTTTAAATTTTATGTTACTTCTTGATCGTTGTAACTGTCTTAAAATTCAAACCCTTACCCTTCTCGCACTATTCTGTTTATAGTCAGCGAAAAAAACACCATCCTGGCTGTACGACAAATAATACTGTGTCACCCACTGACGGGCGTCATGTCGTCCCTGAGAAGCTATTTTAGTGATCCTCATTGCACGGCCAAAATCAACCGAGAGCCACTGGTAACGATTGTTGTGACGTGCACACCACGCCCCCATCCGGGAACCTGCTCTCTTCAAATGGAGCCTGCCGTTGTTAGCAGCATGATTCTTATCCCAGCTGGACGAGGAGGTAATCTGCGAGGCTCTTATACGGCCATTTTGCATTCCTAATGGTTTGTTACACTGTGGACCTGGCAAAAGATAATTGTTACAGAATAAAAATGTTGATTCATGGCCTAGAGGATATCTTTCGCTAAGTGACCTTTTTTTTCTGAACCTCAAATTGTTTATATTCCGAGAGAAGTTGCTGCTGTATGATCAGAGAAATAATTTAATCTTTTTTTAAATTTCTTTGCCCCATTAGCAGTAAAATCCCATGTTAACAAGTCACATTTAAACAATAGTTTACTTTTCCATTTTGAAATAGCCTCATCTAAACACGAGGGGGGAGGGGTTCGGAGAATTCGAGACAGTTATTCAATGATATACGTAGTCGAGAGTTTGCAAAACTTATGAAACTTCTCCCAGCACCCAAGTGTTTAGATGAGGCTATGTAAACATGGAAAAGTACTCTATTGTTTTTATAAACTATTTCTCAAAAATACACGCGACTCCAAAACGTCACAACCGTGTTTACAAACTGTCATCTAAACACACCCATCGACCAAGGAGAGCTCGTGTAGTATCTCAGTTATTTTATAATAACGTACACATAACACCTACCGACAATACAGCCGAAAAATTCCACTCTCATTGATATCCAACTTCGCCATGTGACTGGGTGTATTCTGAAGAATCGAGCCTTTATGGGCCTCAAGAAGCGGTTAGTTACAACCATGAAGCGGTCATAGTTTCCAGGGAAGATCTGTGCGAGACAAAAACCAAGTGCATTAATGAACGACACAGTAAGGCAAGAAAACTACTTGCTTAGAAACGTCATTCGAATCCAACAAACAACATGTTTAAGAAGAAATAA